CAAGGCTGGCTGGGGAATTCTGGGAGTTGGAGTCCAGGCATCTTAAAGTTGCCACGGTTTGAGAAACACTGGAATACAGTCTTGTTTGGCAGGAAAGATTGACGCTTCTGTTCCAGTGCATCTGGGGAAATCACTCCGTCAAGGCTTTGCCTTCCAGCTTGTAATGGGTATTCCTTTCGCCTGCAGCTGCGAAAGCCTCGTTATTTGCGGTGCAACAGGTTATTTGTCTTGTGAATAGCCGCCGGCTTGGACCGAAACATGATCTCTGCATGGGAAGAGCAGGAAACGGCAGAGGCAGGGACCTTCGCTTATTGCCTGCGCTGTCACCTGGCGAGGCCAGGAACAAAGGGAGACAAAGCTATTTTCAGAGGGATCCTGGCCCCCCTATGAAAAAATTCCACTTCTTTTACTCAGGAAGATTAACAAACCACCACAGCTGCCCCACACCTGTACAGTTCTGAAAAGAGGAACCTTGTAATCACTGTGCTTCTAATTTTTTTAAATGATGGGAAGCCCTTTGAATGCATAGGGCATCCTTGAAGACAGGTTATGCTTGATAAAATTCTTGCAGCTTAGGGACAGTTGCTGAGCAGGATCCCCAGTGATTGTCGAAGCGTCTGTGTCCTGTTCAGCTCTTTGCCCCTTACTAATAATCAAGAAGGGGAAACCATCCATGTTGAAGCCAGCATTAAATAGAGTACAGATCAGAAAAGCTCTGATTTTGGACAAACAGGCTGACTTTAGCAGACCGGGGGAACAAAAGGAGAACCAGGCCTTTCCTTTTCAGTATGTCTCCTGCTCCCCCCTCTGTAGGGGGCATCTCACGTTTCCATACCCTGACAACCCCCTCCACGGAAAGGTTTACCATCCCAGGGTGACGTGGTGAAAGTCTCTCTCGCTCTTCTTGCGGAGTTGGCCAATGGCTGGCCCCAGCTGCAGTCTGTGTGGGCTGGGCCTGTAACTGATACCCCCCAAGACATCTACCCTGGGCAACTGTCTCTAGAGCCAGAAGACAGAGAAAGGGAGTCCTGAGAGCACAGAGACCTGGAGAGAGAAAAAGGGACATGGCCACCAAAGTGAGAAGCGTGATAGGCACCAGCTTGGCCCCTCACTTCCCTTGGACTCTCTTGTCTTAGTCAGGCAGATCTGGCTTCCTCCTCCAACAAAACGGCCATCTTCTCTTCTTTGCTTCAAGGGCAGCAGTGTCTTCTACAGGCAGAACGTGTAGGTGTTGGGTGGCCTCAGTGGACCTTCGTAGATTGCTTTTGAAAGCCACAAAGCTTTGGAGGCCCCACCTTACATTCTCTGGGAAAGAGTACATTATTTCCCACTCAGCCATGAATTTTGGCTTCACGCAAGAGCAAGTGGCATGTGTATGTGAGGTCTTGCAGCAAGGGGGCAACATTGAGCGCTTGGGCCGGTTCCTCTGGTCCCTGCCAGCTTGTGACCACCTGCACAAGAACGAGAGTGTCCTGAAGGCCAAAGCGGTGGTTGCCTTCCATCGGGGCAATTTCCGGGAGCTCTACAAGATCTTAGAGAGTTATCAGTTCTCACCGCACAATCACCCTAAACTTCAGCAACTCTGGCTCAAGGCTCACTACACTGAAGCAGAAAAGTTGCGTGGAAGGCCACTGGGGGCCGTGGGAAAATACAGGGTGCGGCGCAAATTCCCTTTGCCTCGGACAATCTGGGACGGGGAGGAAACCAGTTACTGCTTCAAGGTAAGTCTCCTTGGAATTATATTTTGTCTAAGGGTATTTCTCAACTCTCATAGAAATCCCACTCCCAAGCATGGAACAAAGAAAAGTCCATTTCCAACACCGAGAACTTTGAATTTCACAGGCACAAAAAATATAAATCGTTCCTTGAAAAGTTTTATGTTTGGGATAAGCCACCTAATACTTCAGTAAGATTTTTACCAACTCCTCTCTTGCCTAAATCTACAACTTTCTTCTAATTATCCTTCAATATTTCTGTCACACTAAAGTCTAGTGTCACTTTAGGGGAAAACTCCCCACTGGAATAGCTTTTACCTAGTTGCCATTAGGATGTGCTGTTTCTCCCTTTAAGCCTCTGTGTTGACTCTTGCCTTTCTCATGGACCTAACGCTCCTGTTTTCTTCTCCTGCCAAGATATCTCGCATACGGACCCCATCTCTTTGTTTCTTTTCTCTGCTTCCACCCTGCTCTTTTTCCTGATCATCTCTAAAACCCTTGGGTGGTGCGAGAACCTGCCCTTTTGAAATTTCCTCTTAACCATTGGTACCTAAAACTTTTTCAGGCTCAGGCGTTTGGTCTTTGGAAACTGGGCGCTATTTCAGAAAGTAGAGGGGACAAGACAAAAATGATTGTCAGGTGAAGATTAAAATTGCACTTGATTTAATTCATTTTAATTTAATTCATTTAAGAATTAAATATTAACTTAATTAAGCACAGGAACAAGGATATCTCCCCTGTGTTTATACCTTCCTCTTTTCATCACATTAAAAATGAAAATGTGGTAGCAACTTTTAGAGGGGCTCTATAGAGTTCAGGAGTCTCAGACTGTGTATCACTGTTCAGAACTTTGTAATGCCTTATCTACTACTTGAACAGTCTAATAGTAGTCTAAAAGTACATAACACAAGATCTGCTGCTCCTCACTCCCTGTTATCCTGGCCTTTGTGTTCATCTCCTTTGCTGCAAAATTTAGATCGGCAGATTCTTGGAGAAGAGGTTTCTTGCCTGCTTCAGTCTTTCGTGCCATGACCCACTTCCTCTAAGTTCCTCCTGAAACATTCTGAAATAATCTCCTGAGCAAGGCCAAACATTATGCATCTCTGAGAACATTCTGGAAAAGTTTCAAAACTCATTTATTTTAAACAGCCTTTGGCAGCAGAAGGAAGATAATATATGCCCTAGCTCACTTATTGCAGTTGAGTTTTTCCTTCACCATTAAATTGCATAAACTGGCCAAGCCTTAAGGCTTTGCGAAATTTCACCCTTGATTAAAAATAAAAGAAGGGGATGGTGACTGCTAATTTTTGGAAGACAGCAAAGATCAAAGTATGATGACATTGCCCCCTATAGGTTACATTGCAGCATTTAAACTGACCTTGAAACATACACACTTAAAACAATACAGTATGCTTTTGAAGTTGATCTAACCGCATATGGGGACAAAATTAGCTGCAGCAATTCAAGAAAAAGATTTTGGAATCGCATGGAAACCTCAGTGAAATTACTGATTTTGGATTCTTGCAAAAAGAAGCTGAAAGCTACTTTTGCTGTACGCTGCCCAGCTTGGGGTGGGCCTCACCCTGGGGTGAGATGGGCGGCTATATACATTGGTTTAATAAATAAATAAATACATTTACAACATATACAGGTCTGGTTGCCCTAGCTGGAAAATGTTTAGAAATTAATAATTAAAATGCTCAAAGAACGGGAGTACTGTCTCTGTGTGGGCAGGTTCAAGAAAAGATTTCAGTGAGGAGAGTCTTACAGTATTACAAGAAGTGCAGAGAGGTGATTCTGTTTTCCCAGATAGCTTACAGTTTTGGTCTGACAAACGCTCGGTTCAATGACTTTCCCCTCTCATGCAGGAAAAATCCCGGAGCGTGTTACGGGAGTGGTACCTCCACAACCCCTATCCATCCCCGCGTGAGAAGAGAGAACTGGCAGAAGCAACTGGGCTGACCACGACTCAGGTCAGCAACTGGTTCAAGAACCGGCGCCAGAGGGACCGTGCAGCTGAGACCAAAGAGAGGTGAGCGGCCTTCTCGGCCGGTGTAGAATGCAACACGGCTACTCTGGACTTCTTGCGGCAGCAGCAGACATGAAATACTTCGGGGCACGGGCAGGGGAAGGAAAGCGGTCCTGATGACGATGATGATGACATGCAAATGATGGCTTGGGTGAGCCAAGAAATTAGGGCCAAGGCGTGAGCAGTTGGAGAATAGAAGCTTTGGGGGGACTCTGCCGCTGCCGCCACTAAGAAATTCAGATTTATAACCTGTCTCGTTACCCAGCACACTCCAGAGACCTATCATTAATTCCCTCAGTTATCCAAACTTTCCCTTCTTCGCTGAATGTGTCATTCTCCATTGCAAATCCTCACTCCTTCCATTTAAGACACAACTACGTGCCCTCGGCCTCCGCTCTGCTTGACAACATCCCCTGTTCTCTGTCTTTGCTTCCCAAGCTTTCCAGATACCCCTTTGTTATGCCCCCATCGGTTTAGAAAAGCCTCATGTTGATAAATTGTGCCACGGCGACTTCTCTGCTTTCAGATCCTCTCTAAAACGTTCCTATGAAGCTTTTCCCAAACCCGCTGTGATAGCTTCATTCTTCCAGCAGGCTTTACCGTTGGTTCATCTAGCTTTGCCATTCAAAAGGTGGGGAAGCTGCTTATTCATATTCTGTTTAGATACAGAACTGTGATTGGATGCAACTGCCATTTGAGTGGTGGCCACACCTCAGCCTTAATTTCATTTATCCATCCATCCTTCCATCCAATCATTCTGTTTAGATGAGTACCCAGGGTAGCCAACAATAATAAGATCTTCTGACTTTCTAAAAGGCACTTTTAACTGAAAAGTGGCCTGAAACAGACAAGAGATAGAATAGGAATGGAGAATGTCTGGCCCACCAGGCCAGCCCATGCAGTCTGCCCCAAACTCCCTGCTCCCCCTCATTGCCAAGAGCCAAGTTTACTCTTATTGGGGCTGGTCTTGTTGGCTTCAGCTGCTCATCATCTTTCCCATGATTTGGAGATCTTTCAGGGGAACTCCCAGCCTTTCGACTTTTTGTAGTTGGGGGAAGGGCTTCTGAATGGCAGCAGCACTGCTAGAAGAAAGGATGACTGTACTCCTGAATATTCCTCTGATCTAAATTGCCTCTCTGAAGTTTCACAGAGGGAAAATCCAAATGCTCTGTGTCTGACTTTGATATAAAGTAGTACAGAACTAGGGTGTATTTATGTATGTATGTATGTATGTATGTATGTATTTATGTATATAAATTCGGGATAATTAATTTTTAAAATGAATTTTTAAAAAATTCAATGAATTTTTAAAAAATGTCTGCAGGGTGTGGTCAGAAAAGTCAAGATGGTGGCCAAGACAGTTCAATCAAAGCTTCGCCTGGTTTTTATGTAAAACGCAGATAAAAAGCAGGAGGGGCTTTAATCCCACCATCGTGTCCCCCATCTTGACTCTTCTGACAATAACCTGCAGGCACCCCTGAAATATCCCAGATCAGAGAAGGCTGAAATATTTACATATATGCAACTGATTAGACTACTTGAGGACCAACTGTCTGATCTGGCATCTCAGCAGTAGAGTTTCTGAACAATGTGGACTTGGGCACATTATTTTTCTTTTCGGCTACAGGGAGAACAGCGAGGGTGGTGTTCTGAAGGAAGGACGGGGCCTGCCACGAGACAGACATGTGATCCCCAGCTCCGAGGACGAAAGCTCCCCCATCGACAGTCCCTCCCTGCTCTACCCTGCCTTGCAGCTTTCAGTTCCTGAGGGAAACTCCATTCACAATGCCCAAAGGGTAGATTACCTGCAGCACCAGCCACTCCACAATGGTCTCCTGGGATCCCTCACTTCCACTCTTGTAAATCTGGGGTCCTGAAACAGTACAATTAGATGCCACCCCATTCTCAGTGGATTGTTTCTTTGTTCTAGCCCTTCCACGCGTAAATATTCCTGTTTCCAACTAAAACTATCACATCACATCATGTCTTTTGTAACATGGAAACTGGGCTACAAGCATATTGAATCATCACTTCTGATACTGAGCAAAAAGTAACAACCTTCATGTTGGTGGAAAAGGCACGCGTTTTTCTAAATGTGAGAAACGCAGAAGCTGTCAGCATGTGAAATTTCTTCTATCTGCACATCCCCTGAATTGCCAAAATCCATGATTTCTCTGCCCTTTGCATCCTAGAACAACAGCATGAAAATCACTTAGCTGCAAAACAAGGGTAGTTATCTCCCTATAGAACCAAGCAAAAGTGAAGAAGCAGACTAGTAACTAAAGGCACAGAACCACAAGTTTAAAGTTAGTATGGGTGTGTGCAGCAGGAACATCTGTTTAAACTAGAAAGCATCCAATTAAGGTTAATTAGGACTTAGGCCTGGACAGCTGAGCACATACAAACACTTATCCTCTAGAGAGAACAAATGCAATTTGCATATCTTGCCACAGTGCCAAGATCCAAAATGACTTGGACAGAGAACTGTAGTGAAACATTGGATGGATTTTAGCATGGAACCAGGAAAAAAGGGAGACGGAAACAGCCTGCTACTTATCTCTGCTGGTGGCTCCTTTTGCAGAAAGATTCAGCAAGAAGAATTAATTGGGTTGGGAGATGATCCTGGAATATACCTCTTGAAAGGTGTGGGTTGGACATCAAGGCCTATTTTGACTGGTTGCTTGTATAGAATCTAATGGCATACAAGTAGTCCATCAAAGCCAAATAACGTTTTACTGCCATTTTTTAAATAAATGTAAATAAAACTGGGGAAAAAAGTTTATCTAAGGCCAGATTAACCAATTCTTGGTTTGTGTCCACATAAAAAACCTGCTGCCCATTTGCTTTTTTCCTACCCAAATCTTTGGGTGGCTGTCTGTCTGTCTTCCCTCTTTACCCATCTACCGTGGTTCCACTGGCAACTGTGGTTAGCTTCAAAGAAAAATGTTGGGTACAAGGATATTATACAGTAGTTTCTTGAACTAGTGATGGAGGCTGCGATTTTCTATTTGAGGATATGTCCTAAGTGAATGGGAATTATTTTTAAGTAGACATGCACAGGACTGCACTGTGGACTTAGAAATCTCTAGGACACGAATCCTGCTTCTACTTCAAACTTGCGAGGCACGTCATTGTCTTTCAGCCCCAGATCTACATTTGCAGCAAGGGGATAATAATAATGCTGCTGTATTTTATAGCGCTGTTTTAAAGATATTAATTTTTGATATTAATGAAGAGCATACAACAATATATTCCAAAACTCAGGCATGGTCAGGAGTTCTGCTGTTTTGTCAGAAGGTGTATTGACTACTCTAGGACTGTCTTTCACTTTCTCAGCCACTGAGCTCAGATCTAAAGAGAAGAGACACGGAGGCACCAAAGCAGTCTGCTAATTTTACTGCCATATTTTATTTTAATTAAAAATAGAGTTGATGGGAAAACTACAATAAATATATAAATAGGTAAAAACAACAATGGAAAAATCCATTGAAGCCTATAACAGAATTTCAAATACAAATTGATTGTGATATGTGGAAAGAGGAGACACTCCAAAAAAGGGAGTAAGGGAAGGAGGACTCTGCAATTCCACCCAAACAAAATAGGAACCAACCAGAAATATGAGAGCCTGATTTATGCCCTTCACAAAGACAGAATTCTCCCTTCTCAGTATGAAGCATTAATTCTCCTTCACTCAGAACCAGTTTTGTCTCTCTAAAACTTCCTAACTCTCCTTGAACAAAAGCAAATCTACAGAATTATTCCTTCCTCAGGATCTTGAGGTATTTGGCCCACATATAAGGGTCAGTGGAAATGCAGTGCCATCCAGAGCAAGCTCTGAAATGGATTTACTTTAGTTAAAAGTTTAAAAAACTCAAACAATTTACTATATAATAAAGCATCAAACTTGGTGTGGAGCAAGCAAGTCTATATGGACCTCAAAAACTACATTTTGTACCCACCAAATATTCATGGAACTAAGCTGCTGGTAACTAAACTGATTGGGCTGGATATAATAACACCTACTCCCTGCACTAAGCTGTGGGAGAGAGAAGGAGGAGACAAAAGCTTAGACAAATATAGATTTTAGATTTTTTTAAAAAAGTTTCCAGCCCATTAGAATTATTTTTAAAATGAGATCCTTTCATTTCAAATGCAGTTGTGCTCTCAGATCAAGAATAAAGGTTAATCTAAAATCTCAAACTTGCATGTTCTCAAATAGACCAGCATGGTCCCATCACCTAGAGCTGTGGATTCCCTTTCCTTTCATTGCTTTCTTCCTGCAGTCCATACTGCTCTGTTCAAGACTACTAGGGATTAACTGTGGGCCACAGGCAGGATAGAACAGCATACATAATAGTTACTAGAACACCTGGGAGTCTTGTAGAAACACATCCACCTAGGTTTTCATTCTGCTCAGGGAGCAACTTAGAAAATCAAAAGCATGGCGACAGATGAAACACTGGTGGTAGGATACTATACAAGCACTAAAAAAGGAAAACAGATGGGGACAACTGATGCATTGGGGGGAAACAGAGGGTGAATGGCCTCCTCCCTTATTGCTTCTCTACAGCCCTACATTCCCCCTGTTAATGAGACCAGTAAAACTCCTATTGCTTGGTACGTTGCTAGACATGTAGTAGGCACAGGCCCATTGGTTGGGATGTTCAGACAGCATCACCAGAGAGAGGGGTCCTGACCCTACTGGATAGATATGCATTACCATCACTGTGGTGAAGAGTCATGGAATACAGCCTAATAAAGAGCAGTCGCCAAACGCCTGGGTACCAGGAATGGATTTCTCAGCAAGCAGCAGGTGGAAGGGTTTGGGCGGCTCTGGCTCCTCATCACCACTGGAGAAGTCATCCCTCACAATTCGATTGTTGAGGCGGCTGAATCTCCGAGCTTTCATGCTGTGAGACAGAGGGAAATGACATAAAAAGTAAGTTTAGAACTTAACAGGTTATTTTCTGTTGGAATTATCTGTACAGACATGCTATATAAAGCAGACTACAACCAACCAATCTACCATGGGAAAAACTTTAGTAGATGATAAAGTCATGCAAGACAAGTTCACTTAGCACAGCTTGCCCTGGAATGATAAACAAAAGGCAAACATCCCCTCTGGGGGAGATGGGCGGCATATCAATTAATCAATCAATCCTGTATATTTACTTAATTTATAAGTCTTTGTCAATCAGTTTTTAGCCCAAAGATGGCCATTAGAGGACTTACTGATTTAAAACATCATACATAGCAAAACAAAAGTTCAGTCCTTGAAAAATAGCATTCATTAACTTTTTAAAAGAAAAGCAAAATATAAGAAGAATAAATTATTGGTACAACTATTTGCCTACATGGAAGACCGTGAAGTTTTGTTTCATAAAAACAAATGCTCAAATACTAAGTATATGCATTCAGGTGACAAAATGAGAGATACAAATTTGTCAAAAGAAAGGTGCCAAAATCGGGATGGGAGGCAATAGGATATTTCCTTTCACAGTTAGGTTTACAAAGACTTAAGAAAGGTGTTAGTGGGTGTATTCCTGTCAAAAGGTTCCCATCAGTCTGAGATATAGAAATATACACAGGAAGACGCCTTATACTTGATTGTCTATCTCAGTAACTTGACTAAAAGTGGCTGGTTCTGTAAACTGAATGCCAAGAACTAAAGCTGGGATCGTCTCTCTGCATTTCCTTCATTACTGGAATGACCTACAACATGACCCATGAATTCTCCAAAGAACTACCTAATTCCATGATGTTGTTGGCCAAACCAAACGTACCAATACGGCTTCCGCTCTTGCTTTGTCATCATACGCCACAGCTGGGCCAGTTCCCTTGTAGCTGCAGTGGAGGCCATGCCTGGGCAAGTGCTATGAAGAGAAAACATTTGTTTGATCAAACTCAGGAGAAGCAGGCAGCCAAGATATTGTCAAGATGCCTAAATCCCTCAAAGGCTTCAAGAAAACAATGTTTCTGTCGCCAGCCTTTTCCCTCCAATGAGATTAAAGATTAAAAAAAAAAAAAGAAGAAATCTATATGAAACCTAACATCCTTGACACATACATCCTTTTTATATATAAAGGAATCTACAGTGTTATAAAAAGCAGTACTTGGAGAAATATTGGCACTCCTAGACCTGTAATTGCCCAGACGTTTTTTTTAGATGTTTTTATCCCGACTTTCTTATTTTTATAAATAACTCAAGGTGGCCAACATACCTAATACTCCTTTCTCCTCCTATTTTCCCCACAGCAACAACCCTGTGAGGTGGGTTGGGCTGAGAGAGGGGGACTGGCCCAAAGTCACCCAGCCAGCTTTCATGCCTGAGGTGGGACTAAAACTCATGGTCTCCTGCTCTCCAGCCTGGTGCCTTCCCCACTAGACCAAACACTGTGCTTGTAGTTTTCAGATATAACTTGTGCTTTATTGGTTTTGATCCTTGGCTACAAATCTGTTCATTAAATCCCATCATTACAGACAGGGGAATTAAATATGTTAAATTTCTGGTATTGCTAAGAAACATACAAATGGAGTACACATTTTAAAGTTTGTGTTCAGGTTTAGCAGATTAAATTGTTTAGGTGCCTAGTGTACTTGGGGATTAAAATGTATGAAAAATTGTCAAATGCGAAATATCACATTTGTTCCTGTACTGAACAACTTAGCCTAGGTACTGAATTAATTGATTTTCTGAATCCTCATAATATATCATTAATGAGACTGGGTGAATTTACACAACGTGTTAACTAAAATAAAATGAACTGAAATAAAAAGTAACCAAGGCCAACATGTTCTGCAAATAGAGTTTCTTGGTGCTTAGCTGACCTTGGTAAGTGTATTGTGTGAATCCAGCCCGTTACATTTTTTTTCCTGTATATTTATTGTATGTAGTTCCTTTATTGCTGAAATATCTGGCCTTTTGCTGGACCCAGGATTTGCTGCCTTATATATTTGTCTAAGGGGGACGTGGTGGCGCAGCGGCTTAATGACGCTGAGAGTTGCTGGCCAGAAATGGTCGACACTTCAGCGGTTCGAGTCCAGCCGTCGCGT